AAACTTTTGCCTGAAGTATGTTATAAATATTTTTAATTATTTATTTGCATACAAGGCTTAAGATACTATTGTAATAGCAGCTATTTATTGCGCCAATGCTAATTGTTTGAAGTGTTTTTTTTTTGATCTATCAAATTAATGTATAATGGCGGCTATTACAATAGTGTCTTTAGCCTATACATATGTATATACACATATGGTAATCCCATTTCGGTATTTCTCGCCCTTGAATTATGTGTATATTGAAAATTGATAGAATTTCTACATAGGTCAAATTTATTGACAAAATGATCGAACAGTACTTGTATTACTGTAACGACGGCATAAATCTAAATTATTGTTAATCCCAGTATAAAATATATTGATATTTCATAATTGATAAGGATATAAAAATAATAGAAATACCAATTTTTTTTTATTCTTTTATTTTTGTTTATAAAACAATATAAAATTAATTTCTTGGCTGCCTAGCCTTTTTATAAGTTTAGATATATTCAAGTTTTCAAATCTACCTGAAAACAAACAATTAATTAATTAATTATTTTTATTTATTAGATAAAGATTAAATGCCGTCATAAAAGAAATAACTTAGCTACTACTATCTGAAATGCCATCTTTGCCACTTTCGATAAAGATCAGCTTGAGAGAGTTGATAATAATACATCCAATGCAAAACTGGCCTAGTGGAAAGCCTTTGAGAAAACTCGTGCAGCTTATAATTTACTTCTTGAAGATGATAAGTTGATCACATCTATTGCTCTCTCAGCATTTAAGCAATTCCGCGGCAAAAGTATTTCACCAATACATTGTGCATACACAATGGCAATCTGTGATATCTTGCTAAATTCTGCTAGCTCTATGATTAGATATACCGATAAATCAATTACATAATGGGTTCATGTCTTTATAGTATTTTATATATTATTTATGAGCTAAACCAAAAATAGATTTTATCACTGTTTTCAAAAACACAATTAGCACCTAACGCTAATTATGAAATCGATTTTGGATATACTGAAATCCTGCATCTCAAAATTATTACGTATAATTTTTGAAATGCAGGAGTACATAACAAACAGGGCTTTAAATGACTATGTTAATTACCAGACATTTACTGCAGCATTGCTATTGTTTAAAGTGTTTTTTTAAAATTAGTGTATTTGTACATACGTACGTACATCTTATTATTATACTAGCCAATTAATTTTGAGCCCTGTATCCCAATCGATTTTGCAATCGATTCCATAATTAGGTCTTAGTCTTGTTAGGATCACAGAATTTTGAAAACAGCAATAATAGGTTTGAACAAGTTTTGGCCATATCGATGTGAAAGCTGTTCAAAATTGTTTGATTACCAATGCTTATAAGAAAAAAAAACATAAAAACTTAAAATTTTAGATATTTCTCTTGCATCATTCAAATTTATATTTATCTTTCATTTATACTTTTAGGATGTATATGAAAAAAAGCAAACCATCTCCCAAGAATACCTTGTAGAAATTGCTCACATAGAAGAAGCCGAAATCACTAATAAGAAACAAAAATTAAAAACTAACATTACTGAAGAAGTAACAGAAACCATCGATAATAATGATGATAATCATGATACTGTCGTAATTATTATTATTATTATTTAGGAAATTGCTATTTATACCCCATGTTGCACCCACTCTGTAAAAACAATTATTTAACCAAATATCACATAATTATAATACAAAACAATATATGCTTTTGTGCAATAATAATAATACTATAACTTAAAGCATGAAATTCTTAGAAAATCAATTATTTATGTATACAGAAGAGGGTACGAATAAGTAGCAAAATGGGATATGAATAGCAATGCCTTATTTTATTTTATGTATTTATTTATTTATTTTTTACATTCGAATTTTTTTTTTAAAAAAAAGGTCACTGAATTTGATTCGCTATTTGATAACAATCTATACAATTAAAAAATCTAATACATAAGTATTCCAGTTTATAAATCTTTGCACTTATTGAAAAATAAAATAGCTAAAATCAAATAATTGCAATTTTACCCTGCGGGAATATTTTATATGTAAACAATTTGATTACACTCTTATATATTTTGTGGACAGGTAGCATTCGAAGGGTTTACCAATTTCACTACTAGTTCCTATTGGATGAATATTGAATGAAATGAGTATCACTAAAAGAAAACCCGAAAATTTAAATATGATTTTATATTTAAATTTTCGGGTTTTCTTTTAACAACACTCAAATAGATCCCATCAAACAGAAATTTTTAATTCGATCAAATAATTGGCTAGAGAAATATAAATTCTAATAGGACATGTATTGCACTGATATTTTGCAAGAAATTTTTTATTAGGAATAAAATTTATATTAGCATTTTTGAAACCTGAAATTTTATGTTATATCGGGGATCTTATAATTTGATTGTTAGGTGAAGAATGGCATAGTCAGCATTTATATACGCCTATTCAAAACAGGTAGGAGAAATTAGAAGCTCCTCGCAAATTTTATTCAACAAAAGAAAAAAATGTATGAAAATTAGTAAAATCGAAAAGATCAGAAGTAGATAATATCAAGGCATCATCCGAAATATTTTTTTATGCAAATCTGCAATAACCTGTAAAAAATGCAGGTTATTCAAAAATGCATATTTTTAATTTGCTTACAACACTGTGTTATTATTGCACCCTATTGTTATCACATATAGCAATTATAGTATTTCTATATTTTGGAAGCTTCAAAAAGCTAAGTGTTACCTCATATAATAACCAATCACTTTTATTAATGAAATAGAAAATCAATTATGTGCTTGTTATGTTCAAACAAAATATTTTTGCTTCAGAGTAGAATTTACAAACTGAATAATTATACAGTCAACCCTCTCTAAGTACAACCCCTTTAAGTGCAACTTTTCTCTAAATTCAACTTTAACTTCAGGCCTAAGTATATGGGAAGCATGTGTATTGTCTCTATAAATGCAATTTTTCTTAATTGTTCTTTAAATGCATGTTGCTAATAGTCCAATCCCAACGAATTGCATTTAGAGAGTTGACTGTATTAAATACTAATCACTATTGCTATCATACGCCAATTAATATTACTCACCTATTTAGTAAAAAAAAAAAGCAATTTTAAAAATAATTCCACAAATCCACTGATATGCAAAATCCTTTTAGCTCTAATTCCATTCCAGTAACAATACCCAAATTATATGTTCTACCAGCATATTTCATAGCAGATTTTTGATAATAAATGAATACTTTATGTTCGTCCTTTTCAACTCCAATTCTATTCAATAAGAATATTAACATTAGTGTTTCCTAATGTTTGCAGATTTTAATAAATACTTTATGTTCATTTTTCTCAACTGTGCTTAAATTACTTCATCATTCAAATAATTATCATGAAGAATTTATAAAAGAGGTAATTTTCATATTTAATATTTTTATTAATTATACAGAATATAATTCATTACTTATATTAATAATTTAAAATATAATTCATCGACACACTGCCATTTGTAATAAAAAAATCTTTGGTTCGCAATAATTGTCATAAATTACAGAATTTTCGTGAGATTACAAAGTGTCTTGCATCAAATCACCCTAACATTCTAATAATAAGTTAAAAAGCATACTGTGATATCGGTCTCAAATATCCAGCTTTTTTAAAATGGTTTGGTATATCAAAAGATAAAGTTTCTAAAGACTATATCCTTGTAATAATGTATGCTTCAAAAAGTAATTTACGCAAAAATCTGGGAAAATTAAATTTGCTACAATGCATTGCATCAGATCTCCAGATAATATATTCTCATGATCTTATTCATCGGGATTTACATAGCGGAAACATACTACTTAATAGCTACTAATATTGTATTAAATTTAAATTCTGATGGTGTTTGTGGAATTTTCTCATATACTTCTTCTGAAGCTTTGATTAATCGATCATATACTAAAGCATCTGATATTTATTCATACTAGAAACAGAGTGAAACGAAGTGTATGGCTTAGTGAAGGGTGAAATGGTGTACGGGTGCAAAAATCTTGATCAGCGTGATCATGGTCATCACATTGTTGCATGTTTTCACATACAAGCATCACAGTGGATTCTAAATTGTACGTACCAATAATGTGTTAAACAGGTGTTGAAAACAGGTTGTACGTACCAACAGTAGAATCCTACGAAGAAAACTTAAACCCAATTGGTCTTATTACACTGCCACAAGTTTTTTTTTTAGAACAATCGGTTTTATTTCTTGTACACACATCTGATTGTAATGATAAGGCGTTCAAAGAATAAATTAATCTCATTAATCAATGAGCAACCGGGTAAAATGATGAGCAAATTCTGTCAGAATTGAATCATAGATATTTATGGTGGGCAAGTAAAGTTATTATACGAATCCAATTTTGAATGTAGATAGCAGATTGTCAAAATTAGAAATTAAATAAGTTATTTTAGTTTTATAGTATTTTTTTTTTATGTATAAAATATATATTTGA